AAGACCTGGAGATTGACCTGGTGGAATGGGCCTGGAAAACAACCACCTCCACAACAACGGTGGCATGCCGCACCAGCATCCTGGACTACACTACCAGACTGGGCAACAGACTGAGAACAAGGTCAGCTAACACACAGCAAACCCTCATGCAACGGTGGGACAAGCACCTCCTCGGGGGCCTGGGAAACCAGACCCACTTGGCAAGTACCACTGTCCATCCGTGTTTGGGTGAGAAGCATGCAGTGGCTGGTCGACTAATACGTGCTGCCGATCAACCGATGGTTCAGCAAACGGAGATCTCTAGCCGCTTGAGCAGACTTTGACGAAATCTGCACCCTCTGTGAAGATGGCACTCCGGAGGACCTTCCGCACTGCTTACTTACTTGCCCGCAAGCAGCTCAACTCTGGGCCAGCTCGGCGAACCTCTGGGAGGCAGCCATCCACCCCCCTGCCAGATAACCGGGTACCCATACTCAATGGACTTAAAGAGCCAAGGATGCAGGAGAAGTGGCAACGCACACTCTACCGAAGACTCCGCGCTGTGGGCGATCTGGAAGAGGCGCTGCAAGCAGACAATCTCCAAGCAGTCAACGTCTCTGGCAGAGGCATGGGAAGGGCTGATACAGACCCTATTGACAGAGTACCATTCAGACTGGCGCAGAGCAAGAAAACACATCCAGGAGTCTTCGTCCTCGACCACTCGTACTCTTCTCAGGAGATGGTGTTTGGCCGAGACCCTGGCCCAGATAACTTGGGCGACCGCACTGACTGTGCGGCCCGTTTTTTCTACGTCGTGCACGGTCCAGAGCGTCCACTGGTCCGCGGGGCCTACGTTTTTGACAAACGACATTGCCTCGGTTGGAGTGTTCTCCCAGGTCCAAGTTGCCCGAGCTCCCTTCTTCCATTCGTTTCAGTTTGCAATTCCATTTTTTTTTTTGTTTTTGAAGTCCAGATTGTAGTAGAGTTTTTTTTTTTTTAATAGAAGTCCAGATCGTAGTCGAGGCTGGATGCTAGGCCTCGGGAGGTGCCTGTTGTTGTACTCGACCAGTGGGGAGGTCAGAAGGCTTGTGACAGCCCCAAGGATGGTCTCCTCCAGGGGGCATCATGCACTTGCCAAGTCGGCCAGCTCAGAAAGCTCACAGTAAGGTACTTTAGGAGTCAAGTCCAACAGGCACCCGGTGAACAGTCACATCCCAGAGGCAAAAGTTGCATTCTATAAGCAAAAGTCACGTCTCACAGGCAAAGGACACTTCTCCAGGTAAAATTCGTGTCCCAGGGGCAAGGGTCACATCCCACAGTTAAAAAGTGAATTTCCACAGACGAAAAGTCGCGACTCATAGTCCCAAGCAGCAGCACACCAACGAAATTCGGGAAAGTACCAGGCCTTGACATTCTGAAGCACACAGGCCGTGGGCATGTGGTACCAGTACCATGTCAAACCAGAAGAAGCAGAGGCTGGGACGAGTTGAAGCTCCAGGCACATTTCAGGAGAGAATGCTCATTAGTGAGAAGTGTGGAAGTGCTGCTGAAGTGTTTGTGCGCTATCTGCAAGGAGCATGCGCGATAGCCCTGCTGGGCAGCGCTGTGCTGAGACGGAAGGCGGCCATAGCCGCATAGCTAGCAATAGAAGATAGAGCTGAGTAGCAGCGGATGTATTCAGAGTCAAGATCCTCAAGAGAGAGAGAGAGAGAGAGAGAGAGAGAGAG